TGGGAGCAGGTACTCCCCGGAGTAGCGGGGAGAAGTGGGACATGGCTGGGCCTGGAGGCCCCAGGAGGAATCACAAGGGCTGCCCTGACTCCACTGTCCTCCTAGGCACTGCCTCTATTCTGAGCTGCCGGCCCTTGAAGGGAGAGCCTGGGGTGGGATTTGAGGAGCCTGGTGAGAACTGTGCACCTCCCCGGGAAGAGCAGCCCCCTCCAGTGCTGCTTTCCCCCTCCCTTCAATATGCCGGGGCCGAGACCCTGGCCTCCAAAGTGCAGTGAGTACCCAGGACTGAAGTGCTGTGGGGAATCAGACCGAGAGGGGGCACCAGGGCCTCTTGCGTGGGCAGGATTTGTCCATCCTCATTTTTCCCATCCTGGCTTTCTAGTTGCTGGTTCACCACCTGAGTCCTTTCCTCATTCATTCATTGAGCAGATACCACTTAGCACAAGCTGTTTTAGGGGAAGGACCAAGGAACCTTGCTCTTGCAGACCTTAATCTTCTCTCACTTTAGACAGTGTTTATGTATAATGCCTTCGGTACTGTTAAAGGTGGTAAGTGAATACTGTGGAGATAATAGAAAAGTGAGAATGGGAAAAAAGAATGGAGTAAAACATTGGAGTGGGCATATGTTTTGGGTTTTTGGTTTGTTTGTTTGTTTGTTTTCCGGTACCAGGAATCAAACTCACGACCTCGCACTTGCCAGGCAGGTGCTGTGCCACTGAGCTAAATCCCAAGCCCCCTGGAGTGGGCATATGGAGATTCAGGTTAGACCTCATTGAAAAGTGAGGTTTGGCCAGGTGGGGTGGTGCACGCCTGTAATCTGAGCACTGTGAGAGGCTGAGTCAGGAGGGTCACAAATTCAAACCCAGCCTGGGCAATTTAATGACTTAGCAAGACCCTGTCTCAGAATTTTAAAAAGCACTGGGGGTGTAGTTCATTGTGAATGCCCTGTGTTCAGTCCCCAAGGTTGCCTCCCCTCACCCCCAAAATGAGGTTTGAGCACAGGTATGAAGAGGGTATCTAATGGAGTAGCTGAGCAGCCTTGGAGGGGAGGAGCCTTGCAAGTAGTGAACAGCCGGAGCTGAGTGCCTTTGGGTGGGAATTATTTCCAGGGAGCAGTAAGTCTGTGTGGTGGGAAAAGTGTTAGCAAGTGGCGGGGCGCAGCCAGGCGGCAGAGGCCTCACTTGCCCTGTTTCTGCTTCTTGTCTGACAGATTCCGAGACCCAAAATCCCAGCGGACGCACCAGGCCCAGGTGGCGTTCCAGGTTTGCGTGCGCCCTGGCTCCTACACCCACGGACCCCCTTCTGCTGCTCTCAGAGAACCTCCTGACCCGCACTTCAGCCCAGCGGAGCTCGAATGGGTCACTAAGGAGAAGGGGGCCACACTCCTCTATGCCCTGCTGGTACGGGTGGAATGAGGGGTGAGACGCCACTACTACAAGCACAGTCGGGCCTCGACCCAGGACCCTGAGCGAAGACTGCCGCCACCTGCCCCAGTGACTCGCGGCATGCACAGTGCGGCCTGGCAGGCGCGGGAGCACGCGGGCAGCCTCGGATTCGGCCGGCAAGGGGAGCACCTCTCCGCGTCCGGAGGCCCAGCACGCCCCTCCGATGGGAGGGAGCTTGTGGGGAGCCCAGCTTTCATGCACTGATTTGGGGAACATGAATCCCTATTTTACCCCCTCCATCACTTAATTTATTTCCGTTTTTGTTTCTGGTTACTGTGAATCCCAGAGGAGTCTCTCCCTGTGCCCACAAGAAGCTGCTGTTTTCCGGGGCCCTCAGGCGGGAGTGGGGAAAAGGGGGGCGCGAGGAAGCCGCGGACCCTCTGTACAGTTGTTACTGACTCGGGTTTTTAAGGAGCCAATAAACTCTCGGAGCACACGCCTCGCGTCAGTCTCGCGCGCTCCTCACGGCTGCGGCCCAACCCGGGCTTCGCGGGTGCAGCCCCGTCGGCCCCTGGGCCCGCCCGCCGTGCGCTTGGACTCGCCGGCATCCGTCCCGCGCGCTTCCGCTTTTGCCTTTCGCCCAACCCCCGAGGCCGCTGGCTTCCGCGACTCCGGAAGGACTCGGGCCGGCCGCCGGATGTGACGCTGCAGCCAAGGCGCGCCGGGGCCTGGAGAGCGCCGAGTAGACAGGTGGGGTGGGGTGGGGTGGGGTGGGGTAAGGGGCCCGGCGCCCGGGGCAGCGATAAGGGGGCGGGAGCGCCCAACCTGTGACGCCCCCCCGCGCCATTTGCGCGCGTACTAAGGTGCGGCTGCGGCCCCGGACGCCCGGGACACGTGACCGCGCCGCGTAGACGGGCTCCCGCCTGGGCCCGGTGTGCACCTCTGCTGAGCGCCCTCCTGCCGACAGGCCCGGTCCAAGGTCTGGCAGCCAGTGACAGAGAGGGACGCCTGCGGCCCTCGCGACCCCGGCAGCACAATGCCTGCGCTCCTGGAGCGCCCCAAGCTTTCCAACGCCATGGCCAGAGCGCTGCATCGGCACATCATGATGGAGCGGGAGCGCAAGCGGCAGGGTGAGCTGGCGCCAGAATGGGGGTAGACGTGGGGCGGATGGACACACGGCCCACGGTGGCTCCGCTCTCCCAGAGCTGGCCCCTGTTCACAGGCTGTGCAGCGTGCCCGCGGGCACGGCAAGGTGGAACAGCCTTAGCGGGTAGGCGTGAAGAGGCCTAGTCTTAAGTTCAAACACTGAGTTGGCAAGGACCTTGGAGAGCACCTAATAAAACTTCCTTCTCCCTGTGCTGGGAGAAAGCCATTGCACACAGTGCACACAGGAGTGACAGGGTAACTGGCCTTTGTCGCCCGTCAGTCTCTTTAACATTCAATTTTCACCACCCTGCCACTTCCCCTCATTGTCCAGAGGAGGAAGAAGTGGACAAGATGATGGAACAGAAGATGAAAGAGGAGCAAGAGAGAAGGAAGAAAAAGGAGATGGAAGAGAGAATGTCACTAGAGGAAACCAAAGAACAAGTAATTAGTCCGTGATCACTCCCAGCCCTGGCTGTTTCCCTTGACTCGCCTGCTCACCTCTTCTCCTCTTCCCCTTCCAGATTCTGAAGTTGCAGGAGAAGCTTTTGGCTCTACAGGAAGAGAAGCACCAGCTTTTCCTGCAGCTAAAGAAAGTTTTACACGAGGAAGAAAAACGGAGGCGGAAGGAGCAAAGGTGGGATCAGAGTTAAAAGTAAAAATGGGGATAAAGTGGAATTGGGGTCAGGTAGCAGAATTGTTTACTGGCAAAAGAGGGGATACCTGTCTTCCTTTTACTCCAGTGACCTGACCACTCTGACATCAGCTGCGTACCAGCAGAGCTTGACTGTTCACACAGGAACTCACCTCCTCAGCATGCAGGGTGAGGACTAAAACCACCTGACAGAAAGGGCCCTCCTGGACATTGCGGCCTCCCATTTCAGCATCCCAAAGCTCCTCTCCCTTTCTAGGGAGTCCTGGAGGACACAATCGCCCAGGCACCCTCATGGCAGCAGACAGAGCCAAACAGATGTTTGGACCGCAAGTGCTTACGGTGAGAGAAGTAGATGTGGATATGTAACCCATTACTTTTTCCCTTAGAATTTCCTCCAGACATCCTGCCCACAGGCATACAAAGCTCTTAACTGTATGGGCTGGGGGGAGGAATGGGCCACACAAGTTAACTGAGGGTTCTGTCCCCGCCACCCTGGGTTTGAATCAAGGGTCTCACATGCTATGCAAACAGTGTACTACTGAGCTATAACCCCAGCCCTGAGTTTGTTTTCAAGGACTTTACAGGCAGTGAGTTCTCATTCTCCCTTCTAGACCCGGCACTACGTGGGCTCAGCAGCTGCTTTTGCAGGGACTCCTGAGCATGGGCAGTTCCAAGGCAGCCCAGGTGGTGCCTATGGGACTGCTCAGCCCCCACCTCACTATGGGCCCACACAGCCAGCTTACAGTCCTAGTCAGCAGCTCAGAGGTGAGTGATGGGAACAAAAAATGGGCTTTTCTCTAGCGTCCAGAGATAACCTTGAAGTCCTCACAAGTGGCCCTCCTGCCTTTTTCAGCACCTTCAGCATTTCCTGCAGTGCAGTATCTGTCTCAGCCACAGCCACAACCCTATGCGGTGCATGGCCACTTTCAGCCCACCCAGACAGGTGATTAACACCGTGGGCAACAGCCCTAGCTCCAAGGGGCTACTCTCATCCTCTACTAGTTTTACACCTTTCTTTCCCACATAGGGTTCCTCCAACCTAGTGGTGCCCTGTCCTTGCAAAAGCAGATGGAACATGCTAATCAGCAGACTGGCTTCTCTGACTCAGTGAGTATGGGTCACAGATTAAGGGAAGAGGTAGTTAGGTAGGTAGGTTAAGAGGAGCCCCCAGTATGCCAGTCATGTCAACTTTGCCTCTGCAGTCTTCCCTGCGCCCCATGCATCCCCAAGCTCTGCACCCAGCACCTGGACTCCTCACCTCTCCTCAGCTGCCTGTGCAGATGCAACCAGCAGGAAAGGTAAGGATGGTAATCAAAACCCCTGTACTATCACAGAAACTAGATAGGTGGCTTGTGCCCTGTAGTGGCCCCCTCCACCTTAAGGGCACCCCTCTCTGAGGACAATGAGCTGAAGGGAGAGTACTCATTGACAAAGCCCTCCTTTCATCATCACCCAGTCAAGCTTTGCCACTACAAGCCAACCCGGCCCTCGGCTCCCCTTCATCCAACACAGCCAGAATCCACGCTTCTACCACAAGTGACCATCAGATTTTATCTTCAAATCCATCCCCCATGGGTGAGGGTCTCGCATGTCCCAGACTAATAAAACCTACCTGCCACCCCTGTCTGCTGCTGTTTATGTCACTTCCCACCCAGGGGCCTGGAATACGACAAAGCTACTTAAGAGGGTGGGAAATGGCTGGCAGGTCCACAGCAAGTCAAAGTGAGACAGTGGCATTTAGGGTCTCTCTGGGGCCTGAATATATCTTCCAGTGAACAAATACCCATTTAATTCAATTAAGTGGCTAAGTTGAGGGCTTCATATTAAACTTGTAGTTTTATTCAGGTTTGATTTTAACAAATGTGTCGGGGAGAAGAGCCCGCAGGGAAGGGTGAAGCCCATGGGGGCAGGGCCCTCCCGGATGCCTGAGGAGGGGGCACATCCCTTCCCCTCTTCTCTTCCCTCCCCAGCTAAAGGGGTTTAGGGAGAGACACAGGCAGGGGAGAGAACTGGTCCCCAGTCTGTGGGGGTGGTATTGGGGTAAAGAGCTATGGGGAATGGGGACCAGACCATTGACGAGTAGGGGGAAGGGCACAAGGACCATTTACCAGAATCCACAGCGTTCTGATTCCAAATTGAATTTAAAAAAAAAAAAAAAAAAAAAAAAAAAAAAAAAAAAAAAAACTAAACCACAAGCAGCACCCAACCCCTCTCCCCCACTAGGGTTGTAGTGTGAGAGGAGAAGAGGAGGGCAGCTTCACCAAGGCCATGGCTCCCTCACTCCTGGCCAAGGGAGCTAGGTGAAGGGCAGGGGCTCCCCGACAGATTGAGGGGCTAGGGGAAACCAAAATAAAACGTCAAATAAATTGCGTAGGAGGAGTCCAGCCAAAGGCCCAGCTAGAGTGGGGCCAAGCTGGGGGAGGGGCCTCTGCAGGCTTGAGGATCACTGCTGCCGCCGCTGCCGCCGCCACCACTGCCACCACCACCTTGAGTAAAGAGAAACAAACCATGTAAGGTGGGATAATACTTTTAAAAAGAAAGGGGCATAGGGGAGGACCACACTAGAATCACTCTTTGATGAGAACTGTGAAAGGGGGATGAGAGCTTTGTCACTCACCTGGGAGTCAGTTATTTTGCCATGGCCTTGATTGCAACAGCTGCCTCCTCTGTCATGGCAGACAGCACCGTGATCTGGAAGAGCAAGAGGGATAGTCAGGAGATGACTGAATTCAGAGGAAGAACAAAGCTGCACACACAAAGGGAAAGGGGGACCATACCAGGATCTCTTCTCCACAATCATACTTCTGCTCAATCTCCTTGCCGAGGTCTCCCTCAGGCAGACGAAGGTCCTCTCGCACCTCCCCACTGTCCTGAAGCAGTGATAGGTACCCATCCTGGATGCCAATCAGCTGGGGGCAGACAGGGAAGGAAGTTGAAAGTAGGCCCATGTATGCCAAGGGTAAAGGGAGTGATGGACAAACTGGAAAGATGAGCAAACTTCTATCAAAGACCCTTTCTTCCTGCCACTTCCCCACTTTTCTGCCACTTCTGGTCAATCCCTATTTTCCCTCCATAAACCACCCCCGTACCTACATACCTGGAAATCATTCCTTTTGATGTTTGGGACATCCATATTATGAGTTGATGGACAGATATCTTCATATTTCTTCCCAGTAAAGATGTCAATACCAACCAGGTGGACCTGTGTGTACGAACCACAAAGAGAATCCCAACCAAATTCTAAGGCAGAGATGATAAACACTTGTGTTGTCCCAGGCTGATGAAGTCAGTCTATCTTGTTAGGACAAAGATTTGGAGAACTGGAAATGACCCACAACTCAGGAAAGAAACACAAAAGCCTCAAAAAACCCCAAGGTTAAAAAACCACCACTGAGTTGACAGTACAGTGGAAATGGTAAGGCAAGCTTAGGAGAAGCCCACTACCTCGAAATATCAAACACTGATAAACAAAATACCAGATGGCTAAGGGAGCACAAATCTAGGCAAAAGTTTCCAAGTTTTCTGGACATATATTAAGGGACCAAGAACTTGGAAAATAAAGGAAAGTAGAAGGGAAAAGCTGAGAAAAGAAATGTGAAAAGTACTTTAAAAAGTACTCTGAACATCTCAAACTCTAGAGTTACAAAGGAAGGAAACCAGAAAAGATCAAGGCATTAGGGTATAATCAGGATCAATGCCAAGTCAACAAAAGATGGAAAAACTTGACTGGGAAACAAAACCACAAGAAATTTAACAAGAGTGAGCCAGGTTGAACTTTTAAGGAAAAAGTCTGGGGTGACCCAGGAAGCACAAACAATAAAGCTAAGACCCAAGAAAGCAAAAAGGCATAAAGAACTGGCGTAAAGAACTCAAGAACAGGGGGCAGGAACCAGACTGGGGGATGGCATCAGTTCCAAAGAAAAAGCTAAGAAAGGAAGTAGCAAAGTGACTTGAAAAAGGCAAGGAATAAAGAATAAATGAACAGCTGAACAGCCAGAGTATAGACCACAAAGAGACTGGCACAAAGATGGAAAGGGAGAGACCTATCAGAGAATGATGAGGCCACCAATAGGTATCTATGGAAGAGGCTGGAGACTAGAGGCAGACAGAGTCTGAGGCTGAATATTTAACAAAAGGACTGAGAGAAAAGAACTCAAGGAAGGTAGAGGGCCAGGACTCGTGACAGCTTGCTGCCAGGAGTCCTACAGATACAGGAGGTATGGGGGAAGGCAAGATGTGGAGGAGAAATTCTAACCTTGGCATGGCCATGCTTGCCAGTCTTCGAAGTAGACATCTCGACGATCTTACATGGCCGGCCTTTGAGCACCACAAAGCCATTCTTACGTAATGCTGAGCACTGCATTGGGAAGGTAGCTGAGGCCCCTGCATCTCCTGTCTCGAAGTCCAAATCATCTGCCATTTTAAGAGGCTTGGATTCCAACTAAAGCCAAGAAGAGAACTGGCGTCAGTAAGGATGAAGGTTATTGGAACCTCTAATCCATCCCATTCCTTTCTGGAAACACTGCTCCATTTCCCCCAACCCTTTACTCCATTACCCACCTAAAATAAAGTCAAAGTTCCTGGAATAAATACAGACTGAGGTCAAATACACTGAAGAACGGGTGTAAGGGAGGGGAGAATACCTGGATCCTCCCCCAAAATGAAAGCTAAAGTCATGGCTTGGGAAAGAAAGGCTCTAGGTGTTGGGATGCCAAATCTCAGAGATGAGGAACGGCCTACTTCTTGGGAAGGGGGAGGACTCAGGTGTTATTTGCCACTGAAACCAACCACCCCTCTTCCCCACACATAACCAGGGCTATAATTAGGTGAGCAGCTATGAGCCAGCAAAAGGGCGGGGCTAATGGGGTGAGGGTGGAGACAGGAGGGCAAGGCCCCACCCGATTCTGTGACACCCTTCCACCCCTATCCACACACAAACCAGTCAGTGGTACAGGAAACCACAAGGCCTCTTTGGGGGATTCCCGCCTCGCCAACATGCACTTGCAGATGCAGTCCAGGGAGAGAAAGTAGTTTTCTAAACGAGCCCTCTATTAAACACCTCGATCTCAGTTCCCAAAGGGAACCCAGGAACCCAGCCTCTACTCGAGGGCCCTCCCACTTTTCCCAGGATGCACCGGTTCTGTCGGCTTTTCAGGCCCGGCCTGTACAGTCAGTAGAAAGTGGAGTGGGGGGTGGTGAATGACAATAAAATGAAAGCAAAAGGTTGGTAGTAGTGAGTAGTAGAAATCGCACTAGGCTGGTACTTAAGAGACTCTAAAACCGAGTTACTGCCACGCCAGATACAACAGGGAAGACAGTGACAAGGTGAAGACCGCGTTCCACCGTGGGGAACGCATCTGCCTCAGACATTAATGCGCTGTCGGCACGGGCCGAGCCCAGAAGAGTTGGGCTCGTGTCCAATCACCTCAGTCTCCCCATTTCTCCAGGCCCCCAGCTCAAAAGAGTGCCACTTACACCTGGCTGGCGGCCTCACTTCACGTGAGGTCTGCGGAGCAAACTCCAGGGCCCATAAGGTCGGGAAGCCGAAACATATGCCTCCACAGCGGGCTCTCCGGGGTGTTCGGAACCAAGTCTTCGGACTTGTTCCGCGCCCCCAAATCCCAGGCTGTCTCAGACGCCCGCGAGGAACGCTTCTCCCCGGGCTAAGGCTAGCCAGCTCCCGCCCACCATGTGGCCGCCCGGGGTTTCCGGTGGCCCGGACCTGGGGGGAGGGGTCCCCACGCTGCCATGCGGACCCGGTCCACGTTCGGCCATGCGGTCTCGGACTCCAAGAGCAGCCTACCGTGGGGGGCACTTCCGGTGCCGCGGCCATCCCCTCCCCGAAGACTGCGCCAGGCCACAGCCACGCCGCCTCCCCTCCCCCCGCCGGCGGCCACCCCCCCACTTGCCCTCTCACCGAACAGCCCCCTCCCCCACCTCACGTGGCTGCGCGGCACACGGTCCTCAACGGCCTAGGAACCCCTGTCCCGGCAGGGCCGATCTGGCCCCCGGCCCTCGCCCCGGGGTGGTCGCCCGGCGGCCTCTCCCGCGTGGCGGCCTCGCGGCTCGCCGTCCCCCGCCCTGCGTCGCTCCAACGTCACCCAGCCGGCCCCAACCGTCACCCCGCGCGCCAACCGGGCCGCGCGCCCGCGACTCTCCGCACCCCGCGCCACTCCGCGACAAACCCGTGCGGCGGTGGCCGCCGCTCCCCTCTGCCCCCTCCCCGACCCCCGCGCAGTTCCGTCTCTCTTTCCCAGCCCAAGCCGAGGTTCCGCGCAGGCGCGCCTGTCCGCTCTCACCTCGCGCGAACGCACTGACTCGACTCCGTCCGCTCGCCGCGAGCCCAACCGCTGCCTCAGAGCCCGCTGCCGCCGCCGCCGCCGCCTCTACCGCCGCCGCCGCTGCTGCACACGGGTCTTAGTACGCAGGCGCCGACTCCCCACTGACCAACCAAGCAGCCCTATGACAGCCGCGCAAGCGTGCTACCTAGCTCCTCCGCCCTCCACCCCCGCACTGCGCAAGCGCACAGGCCCTCCCCGAGCTCCACCCTCCTCCCACCTACCCATCCAATGACGCGCAGACGTGACCCCGCCCCTCACAAATCCGGAGTGCCTCCAACAAGTCAACAATGCGCAGGCGCGCCCGGTTTTTAATCCCCTCAACCTCCTCTGCCCTCCCCTTGACAGACCACTCGTCCTACCGGACAAACCTTGCGCCTGCGCAGTAGAGAGTCCTGCACTCCACACCCTCTGAAGGAAACGCCTCGGTCTCAGAACGCATGCGTGTTGGGAATCCTAAACGCCCCTTCCACCTCAGACGTCGTCTGTACGCCGGGTGTTGAAAAGACCACGCCACTGTATCGCTAGCCGCGTTCAGAACGCATGCGTCTTAGGAAACGCCCCACCTCTGCTTTAACTGGACTTAAACGACCCGCAAGTTTCAGAAATGTTGCGCTGTGGGGTGCGTCCGTCGCCTGGGCATCTTCTCAGTTCCACACATGCGCGAGAGCTCACTTTCCGCTCCAGTGTTCCTAGCGCGCTTGTGTGGTCGGGTTACCCGCGTCTGGACTGCACCTCTAAACTCCGCGCCTCCGCTCAGCCATAGAGTTTCAGCCGGAAAGACAGCGGTGCTATGCCAGCCACCATCTTGTTTAAACCTTAGTTCGTGTTGGGCCGTGTGACTTCCACAGATGCCTTTACACACTCTTGAGTCCTAAATAAAATTTGTGTTTGTTCTTCCCACTTGTGCTCTGGACGTTCCAAAAAAAGAACAATGTCTAAATCTCCCTTAGAAAAACTTCTCCATAAGAAGGAGAGTATGTGAAATTGCATTGACATTCTCGAAATTAGGTGACCAAGAAACGAAACAAACGACTCTTGGAGTTTATTTCCATGGCCTTGGTCTTAGGGAACAAAACTTTTGCTGAAAGTGGGTTTCCAGCACTACCGGCTACCTTAATATGCTAGTTAGCTAGGTGGATAACAGGACTGGTCTTGGAATCCAGAACTTTGAATCCTGATTTGTGGCTCTGAGAAATTAAATAGCTCTGCCTCAATTCTCTTTCCATAAGGATAGTAAGGACATCTAAACTTTGCAATTTACCAGGGTAGAAGATCCTGTAGCACTGTCTGTCAACTGCTGGCAGAAGCTGGAATTACCTTTGCATACATTGTGACACTGCTCACCCCCAGATACTTCCAGTCAATTTTTCTGAAATTTTTATCTTTTCCCTTGTTTAAAAAGAAACTTCCAGGGTGTTTTTTGTTTTGTTTTTTGTCTTTTTGAGACAAGGTCTCGCTATGCAGTTCAGGCAGCCTTGAGCTCACTTTGTAGCCCAGGCTGGCCTCGAACTCACAACGATCCTCCTGCCTCAGCCTCACGAGTGCTGGGATTACAGGCTTGCACCACCACGCCCGGCTTTTGTTTTGTTTTGAAACAGGGTCTTGCCCTGTAATTCAGGGTGACCTTTGTAGCCTCAGCTGGCCTCGAACTCCTCAGCCTCCAGAGTGCTCAAACTATAGGCCTACGCCACCATGCCCATCTCCGGGTGCATTTTCAAAACTCGTAATTCCTGTTTTCAAAGATGTACTGTTCGTATGGCCCAGCCATTCCTCTCCTATGTATATAACCCCACCAAATTAAAAATATACTGAGGCAAGAGATACAGCTCAGCGGTAGAGTGCTTGCTTAGATTGTGGGAGGTCCTGGGTTCCACCCCCAGCACCACTAAATAAATAAATGAAATAAAAAGATTCTAAACCTTGCACGTGATTGTTTACAGTAGCACTTACAATAGCCAAAAGATAGAAACAACACAAATGTCCACCAATGGAGGAGCAAAATGTACGACAGCCATACAATATTATTCAGCCATAAAAAAGAAGTACTGAAGCATGCTACAACTGGATGAACCTTGGCGGTATTATGTTAAAAAAAAAAAAAAAGAAAGAAAGAAAGAAAGAAAAAGAAAGCCAGTCACAAATGATCTTCTATGAGTCCACCGATACAAGATATCCAGAGTAGACAGATCCGTAGAAACAGGAAGCTGATAGGCAGTTGTCAGGACCAGGGAGAAGAGGGGCAGAATTATTTAATGGATGTGAGGTTTTATGATTTTGTTTTTGTTTTTGTTTTTGTTTTGTTTGTTGCAACAAGGTCTTACTACGTAGCCCAGTTTGGCCTGGAATTTATGGTGATCCTCAGCCTGGGATTGTAGGCATGTGCCACCATGCCTGGGAAGTTTTTAGAGTTATAAAAATGTTTTGAAGCTAGGTAGAGGACCTTGCACAACATTATGAATGTATGAAATGCCACTAAATTGGTCACTGTAAAATGGTTAATTTTGGAGAGGGGAGGGAGGGGGAGAGGGGGATGAAAAAAGAATTAAAATGTGTTATGTACATACACTGAAGCTCCCCACAATAAATGTAATCATTACTGCAAATGTGTACTAATAAAATTTTTTATTTTTATTTATTTATTTATTTTTATTTTTTTTTTTTCTGGTACCAGGAACTGAACTTATGACCTTGTGTTTGCCAGGCAGGTGCTGTGCTGCTGAGCTAAATCCCCAGCCCAAAATTTTTTAAATGGTTAATTTTATGTGAATTCCACATTGGTGTTTTTGTGCACAAGTTTTCAAAGTAGCATTATATACAACAACAACAACAACAACAAAATGATAACAAGCCATATTGATAATCAGCAATAAAAATGAATAACATACTAGGTACATGTTACAGCTCGGATAAACTTTGAGAACATTTTGCCAAAGTCAGGAAAGATCACATAGCTTTGGGTGTACTTTGGTGGTAGAGTGCCTACTTAGCATGCTCAAGGCCCTGAGTTCCATATTCAACACCACAAAATAAATAAACAGTAATAAAAATCTCATAGTTTATAATTCCATTGCAGAAGAAAGGTACTGGGGATTGAACCCAGGGCCTTCACAATGAGTTATATCCCCAGCCCTTATTATTATTATATTTGTTTGTTTGTTTGAGACAAGGTCTTGCTATATAGTCCAGGCTGGCCTTGAACTCATAGCAATCCTCCTGCCTCAGCCTCCCAAGTACTGGGATTATAGGCGTGCACCACTACACTGGCTTTATTTTTTATTATTTTATTTTATTTACTTTTTTTTTGGTACTGGGATTCAAACTCAGGGCCTTGCGCTTGCCAGACAGGGACTTATGCCACTGAGCTATATCCCTGGCCCTATTTTATTTTATTTATTTGAAACAGGTTCTCACTATGTAGTGCAGGCTGGCTTTGAATTCACTTATGTAGCACAGGGTGGCAGGGAACTTACAGTGATCCTCCTGCCTCAGCCTCTTGAGTACTGGGATTACATGCACATACCACCACACCTGGCTTTATTTTCTATTTTGTAGCCTCAAAATAGGGTAAGTTCAAGGTCAGCCTAGGCTGCAAAGTAAGTTCAAGGCCAGCCTCAGATGCATAGGAAGACCCTGTCTGAACTAGACCAAAAAAAAAAAAAAAAAGTAAAAGAAACTTCTAAGTGAACAGAAGGGGAATGCTCAACATGTGAGTTAGATAAAAATAGTTTTCAGGAGATTCCTGAGGGTCTTGCTAAATTGCCCAGGCTGGACTGAGTTATTTTTGTTTGGTTTGGTACCAGGAATCGAACTCAGGACCTTGCACTTGCCAGGCAGGCACTTGTGCCACTGAGCTATATCCCCAGCCCAAAAATTGCTCAGGCTGGGCTCAAACCTGCAATCTCCTACCTCAGCACCTTAGAGTGCTGGGATTGTAGGTTTGTGTCACCATGACCAGCTCTTATGATTCCATTTATATGAAATGCCCAGAAAAGGGAAATCCATAGAGATAGCAAGTGATTGTTTAATACTGAGGGGTTTAGGGAGATGGGGGGATGGCAGCTATCTTTTTATGGTGATGAAAATATTCTAAAATTGAAGTAATAATCTCACAACTCTTCAGATGCTAAAAACCATTGGGTTGTATACTTTAAATAGTTGAACTGAAAAAAAAATAGTTGAGCTGTACGTGAATTATATCTTGATAAAGCTGTTACTTCTTGTGTTCTTATCGTTGTGTGACAGTATATACTGTGAATGATGTGACAGTCTTAATTGGTTAATTTCTCTGAGACATTCGTCACATGTCCTCACAGAGCTAAAAAGTAGTCTCCAGGCCAGCCTGAACTACATAGTAAGACCCTGTCTCAAAAAAAAAAAAGTATTTTTGACCTAACAGACTAAGAAAATTTCTCAGGATATATCCTTTCATAGCAAACATTACCGTTTTTTTATTTTTTTGGTTTTTTTTTTTTTTTTCTCTCCGGTACCGGGAACCAAACTCTCGACCTTGCACTTGCCAGGCAGGCGCTTTTTGCCGCTGAGCTAAATCCCCAGCCCAAACATTACCATTTGTCACAGATTACTGATACTCATTTTTTGGTGTGTAATTGTTTTATTAATGTCTGGTCTTCTTTAGAATGAACCTATGAAAAGGATGGAACCTGTTGGGCTAAAGGTGTTGCTCTGAGGTTGAGGACTTCAAGAGTTCCTGTGGTCAATTCCTATTAGTAGGTGGAAAAAAAGAATGGAACTTGTCTGCTTTCCCAGCTCCTAAGATGGTTTCTGGCAAACACTTGGTGTACCGTGAAGGTCAACGTGATGCTGAGGGAAGGCACGGCTGACTTAAGCTAATGAGACTCACCCTAGATTGACAAAGAAATAACAAAGCAATATCATTTTATTTGTAAGTGAATCAAAATGGCCAAGAGACACAGAAGTTCTATGCTGGCTGGCTCATCTGTCCATTCTTTCTATAAAAAATACAAGTGAAAAGACAAAATCCAGTCAAGGAACACTGAAATCAAGGAACAGGAATTAGTAGCACTTACATCATGACTGGTACTGTACAGCTCTAAGAGCATGGTGATTTGCCTTCAGTGAAATTTAAAAAAAAAATCATGGATCAGGAATCTCCTGAAAACTATTTTTATCTAACTCACATGTTGAG